AGCCAAGGGGTTCAAGACCAGCCCGAGCAACGTGGCGAGACCTCATCTCTACAGTAAATTTTAAAAAACAGCTGGGTATGGTGATGTGCACCCGTGATTCCAGCTACTTGGAAGGCTGAGGTGGAAGGATCCCCAGAGCCCAGCAGATTGAGACTACAGTGGCCCTGAGTATGCCATTGCACTCCAACCTGGGCAACAGGGTGATACTCCAACAAAAATAAAAAATTTATGAATCCTAAGCATGCTTTTAAAAATAGCAATAATGTCAGCATTGTGCAAATTAATTACTAAAATGCTGTAATTGTCAATCAACAAAAGAAAAAATTTATACAATTTTTTTCTTTTTATTTCAGAACAAAAAAAGACTGTAAAATGAGACTATGCTTGCAAATAAAGCTACTGTGGTTCTCTTGTATGTCATTTAGCATTAAATTATAGTATCTCCTTGGAAAAATTTCTCAAATTTTAATATGCATAATAATCAACCAAAAGGTTCTTATTGAAATATAAGTTCTAATTCAGGAGGTCTTGGACAAGGGCCTGGGATTCTGCAAATTTTTTACAAACTCCCAGGTGATGTAAATGCTACTGGTTCAGGGATCACACCGTGAGTAGCAAAATTCTTCTAGAATCCATCACATTCCACAGAATGGGTTCAGTCATCTGCCATTGAGTATTAGAGACCAGGTGGGCTTGCATTAATGCGTGTGTTCGACGGAATGGACACCTGTGCTGAGAGCAGTGGGGAAAGATAAGATGGGTGCGAGCATCGAGGAATGAGACCCGTTGGGCAACTTGGCGAGACATCATCTCTACAATAAATCAAAAAAATTAGCCGGGTGTGGTAGCGCGCACCTGTAGTTCCAGCTACTTGGAAGGCTGAGGCGGAAGGATCGCCGGAACCCAGCAAGTCAAGGCTGCGGTGGCCGGGAGCGGCCACTGCATTCCAGTCTGGGTGACAGAGTGAGACTCCAACTCAAAAACAAGCAAACAAACAAACAAAAAAACCAAAACTAATGGATATGCAATGGATCATACCTGTAATCCCAGCACTTTAGGAGGCAGAGGTGAGAGGATTGTTGAGCCCAGGGGTTTGAGACCAACCTGGGTGGCTTGGCAAAACCTTGTCTCTACAATAAATAGAAGTAGCTGGGTGTGGTGGCATGCGTCTGTATTTCCAGCTACTTGGAAGGCTGAGGCCGAAGGATCGCCTAAGCCCAGCAGGTCGAGGCTGTGGTGGCCGTGAGCATGTCACTGCACTCCAGCTGGGGTGACAGAGTGAGGCTCCATCTCAAAAAAAAGAGAAATTCCTTAGCTTTATAGACAGGAGTCATATATTTTCATCTTCTGTTTCCTGAATGTCTTAATAATGTTTATGATATGGAAAGCGTTCCCCAAAATTGTGGGTAGAACAGGTGGATGAGTCATGTGGCATCTGGGTTCTGTAGTCTGTAAATGGAAGGAGTGAGAGCTTTGACTTCATGTGCAAACTTCACACTCATCCTGTCGCTTTTCCTCTTTTTTTTTTTTTTTTTTTTTTTGTGTTGGAGTTTCACTCTGTCAGCCAGCCTGGAGTACAGTGGCACGCTCACGGCCACCCCAGCCTCAACCGGCTGGGCTCCAGAGATCCTTCTGCCTCAGCCTTCCAGGTAGCTGGAACTACAGACATGTACTACCACACCTGACTAATTTTTGATTTATTGTAGAGACGAGTCAAGTTGCCCGGGCTGGTCTCAAACCCCTGGACTCATGCAATCCTCTCACCTCCACCTCCCAAAGTGCTGGGATTACAGGCGTGAGCCACCACACCCAGCTTGTAACCCATCATCTTTTCAACAATGTTTTTTTCTTTTTTTTTTTTGCAGCATAAACTTGAATGGGATTTGCAGCAGAGGGAGGAAGAGATTGCTGAATTGCAGAAAGCTCTAAGTGATATGCAGGTCTGCCTCTTCCAGGAACGGGAACATGTTTTACGTCTCTACTCAGAAAATGATCGACTGAGAATCAGGTACCAAGTAGGAGAAGGGAAATGTTGAACTTATAACTCTAAATCACATCTAAAAAGATGGCACTACAGTTAGGTTGTATACCCCGAGAAATAAACTCTGATTTGGAGATGTGCTTGCAGGCCAGTTACTGGGAGGCTCTCAGGAATAATACCTATGAGCAGATTTGGGCAGAAAGACTTTGAACTGTGTGGTCACAGTGGTAACAGAGGCCTTAGCCAACCCCACAGGGAGCTCTAGGGCCAGGGGACCTTTCAGAAGCAAAGGGTTTGGACTTCTGTGTCCCTGCCTTGACTGTCAGAGGATGCAGACTGCCCCTGGGGAGGCTATGTAAATTTGGGAAAGGAAGCTCCTTTGGAGAAGGCCTCGGTTCCTGGGAGCCTGGTGTCTTGGTCCAGAGGGGGACATCTGAGCAGTACACTGTGGCATCCACTGCAGCACACTTCTGTGTGTGTGGGAGGAGGGGAAGGATGGGGGGGCGAGTGGAAGGAGTAAAATATATATAACATAAAATATACCACTTTTTAAAATTTATTTTTTATTTCTCTTTTGAGTTGGAGTTTCACTCTCACCCAGGCTGGAGTGCAGTGGCCCAACTCATGGCCACCACAGCCTCGACCTGCTGGACTCAGATGATCCTTCCGCCTCCACCTTCCAAGTAGCTGGAACTACAGGCACACGCCACCACGCCCGGCTAAATTTTTTCATTTATTGTGGAGACGAGGTCTCGCCAAGTTGCCCAGGCTGGTCTCGAAGCCCTGGGCTCAGGCAGCCCTCTCACCTCAGCCTCCCAAAGTGCTGGGATTATAGGCGTGAGCCACTGTGCCCAGCCTAAAGTATACCTAACACTTTAACCATTTTTAAGTGGACCGTTCGATAGTATTAAGTACATTCACATTGTTGTGCAGCCATCACTACCATCCAGCTCCAGAACATTTTCTTTTCTTTTTTTTTTTTTGAGTTGGAGTCTTACTCCATTGCCCAGTCTAGAGTGTAGTAGCACATTCATGGCCACCACAGTCTCGACCTGCTGGGGTCTGCCGACCCTTCCACCTCAGCCTTCCAAGTAGCAGGAACTACAGCACGTGCTACCACACCCGGCTAATTTTTGATTTGTTGTAGAGATGAGGTCTCGCCAAGTTGCCCGGGTGGGTCTCGAACCCGTGGGCTCAGGCAATTCACTTGCCTTGGCTTCCCAAGTGCTGGGAGTATAGGCCACCGAGCCCAGCCCAGAACATTTTCTTATCCCTAAACTAAAACTATGCATTCATTAAACAGTAACTCCGCATGCTCCCCTTACCCAGCCCCTGGTAACCACTATTCTACTTTCTATCTCTCTGAGTTTCACTAGTCTAGGCACCCCATGTAAGTGGAATCGTACAGTGTTTGTCCCTTCGTTGTCCGGCTTATTTCCCTTAGCATGTTTCCAAGGTTTGTTCATGTTGTAGCATATGTCAGAATTTCGTTCCTTCTAAAGACTGAATAGTGTTCCACTGTATGTGTGCACCATATTGAGTTTATTCATTCGTGTCAGTGGACACTTGGGTTACATCCACCTTTTCGCTGTTGTGAATGATACTGCTACCATGCATGAACATGGGTGTGCAAATATCTTTCTGAGACCTTGTTTGTAATTTTTTTTTGAGTTGGTATCTCACTCTGTCACCCAGGCTGGAGGGCAGTGGCACGCTCACAGCCACCATAGCCTCTACCAGCTGGGCTCCGGCGATCCTTCCACCTCAGCCTTCCAAGGATCTGGAACTACAGGCGCGCACAACCACACCCGGCTAGTTTTTGATTTATTGTAGAGATGAGGTCTCGCCAAGTTGCCCAGGCGGGTCTCGAACCCGCGGGCTCAGGCAATCCACTCACCTCAGCCTCCCAAAGTGCGGGATTACAGGCTGAGCCACTGAGCCCGGCTCACAGCCATGTTTTTAGTTCTTTTGGGTATATACCCAGAAGTGGAGTTGGGACATATGGTAATTATGTTTTTATTTTATTTTTTATTTTTTTGATAAAAAAATAACTGGAACTACAGGCGCATGCGACCATGCTCAGCTAATTTTTGATTTCTTATAGAGATAAGGTCTCACCAAGTTGCTTTGACTGGTCTCGAACTCTGGGCTCAATCAAGCCTCTCACTTCTGTTTCCCAAAGTTCTGGGATTACAGACTTGAGCCACCACGCCTGGCTTATTTTTTTATTTTTATTTTTTTGAATCTAGGTCTCACGCTGTTGCCCAGGCTGGAGTGCAGTGGCACAATCACAGCTCACCGCAGTCTCAATGTCCTGGGCTCAAGTGATTCTTCCATCTCAGCCTCCTGAGTAGCTATAACTACAGGTGCACGCCACCACACCTGGCTCATTTTTGTAGAAAACTCCTGGGCCCAACCAGTTCTTTTGCTCTGGCCTCTCTAAGTGTTGGGATTATAGGCGTGAGCTACTACACTCAGCCACTTTTCCCTTTCTTAATTGTGTCCTTTTTTGTATAGAAGTTTTTAATTTTGATGCAGTCCTATTCTTTCTTTTTTTTCCTGTTCTGTTGGTGTCATATCCAAGAAATCATTACCAAATTCAATGTTAAGAAGGTTTTCCTAGCCAGACTCGGTGGCTCAGCCTGTAATCCCACACCTTTGGGAGGCTGAGGTGAGTGGATTGCCTGAGCCCGTGGGTTCGAGACCCGCCTGGGCAACTTGGCGAGACCTCATCTCTACAATAAATCAAAATATTAGCCGGGTGTGGTAGCACGCGCCTGTAGTTCCAGCTACTTGGAAGGCTGAGGTGGAAGGATCGCTGGAGCCCAGGAGGTTGAGGCTGCGGTGGCCAGGAGCGTGCCACTGCACTGTAGTCTGGGCGACAGAGTGAGACACCAACCCAGAAAAAAAAGAAAAAAGAAGGTTTTCCTTACATTTTCTTCTAAAATGTTATAGTTTCAGCTCTTAGGTTTAGGTCTTTGATTCATTTTGAGTTAATTTTTATATATAGTGTTAGGTAAGGGTCCAGCTTCATTCTTTTTCCCGTGGATATCCAGTTTTCCGTTTGTTGAAAAGACTTAGCGAGCCGTGCTCGGTGGCTCAGCCTGTAATCCCGCGCTTTGGGAGGCTGAAGTGAGTGGATTGCCTGAGCCCGCAGATTCAAGACCCACCTGGGCAACTTGGCTAGACCTCATCTCTACAATAAGTAAAAAATTAGCCGGGCGTGGTAGCGCGTGCCTGTAGTTCCAGCTACTTGGAAGGCTGAGGCGGAAGGATCACCAGAGCCTAGCAGGTCAAGGCTGCAGTGGTCGGGAGCAGCCATTGTACTCCAGTCTGGGCGACAGAGTGAGACTCCAACTCAAAAAAAAAAAAAGAAAAGACTTAGCAACATGGTTCTTGACTTCCCACGGTCAGGTGCACCATCTCTAAGAGGATCCAGTGGCAGAAACTGTTTTTCAAATGTTATATCATTCTCAGCTGTAGATGACATGGTCTTGTTCTCAGAGTGTCTATGTTGTGGTTTTCTTAATGGGGCTTGCCATAAACTCTGCTTGGTACCTTGTCCCACTGCAAATATCATTGGCTCTATCAGGTCATGTGTTTGTGACTCTGACTTAATATGGAGCCTCCTTTCAACTCAGCCATGCTGAAAGCTCACTTTCCAAGACACTTGAAAGGTGAGTCAGAGCAGTAGTCCAAAATATGAAATGTGTTGTCTTCAGGACCTAGACTCTTTTCAAGCATTATGCTTCCTTCTTGGTGGTGGTAAGCACATCACAAAAATTTGTTTTTTACTTTGTTGTTGTTTTTTGGGGTTTTTTTTTGAGTTGGAGTCTCACTCTATTGCCCAGGCTGGAGTGCAGTGGCATACTCACGACCACTGCAGCCTCGACCTGCTGGACTCAGGCAATCCTTCCACCTCAGCCTTCCAAGTAGTTGGAGCCACAGGCGCAAGCCACTGTGCTTGGCTAATTTTTTTATTTATTGTAGAGACTAGGTCTCACCAAGTTGCCCAGGTTGGTCTCGAACCCGTAGGCTCAGGTAGTTCTCTCACCCCAGCCTCCCCAAGTGCTAAGATTACAGGCTTGAGCCACCACACCTGGCATGGCCCTTTCTTTCTGAATGGAAGTACCTGCTTTAAAAATTTTTTTTTTTTTTTTT